CAATTTACAACCGTCACAAATATGAGCCACTTGTGCCAAGCGCCGGAATTTGGATCACGTGACCGCAGGGACGTTGCAACGGTCGTAAGTGTGGAAAAAAATGGTCGTAAGCTGCTTTTTTTCACTGCCGTTGTAACTTGAAACGGTCACTAAAATGAACGGTTGTAAATTGAGGACTAGTACCGTTCACATGCCCCTGCGCGCCAGAAACCTGGAAGAGGAACCAGGCGGCATGGCGCGTGCCGTTAGTTCACCATCACAAGTGTAGGGCGTCCTGCTTGAGCGGGGGGGTGGGCTAGATGACCTACAAGATCCCTTCCGACTCTTGTTAATCTGTTAAACATTCTATGTACCAAAAACACAACTTTCAAGTCCTTAAACGTCACGGCTTGAAAATAATAAAGCCGCTGATAATAATTTTTAGCGGATCCGCGATTTACCGCTCACGAAAGGGCGGAAAATCTGTTCTGGCGGAGTTTTCAGCCATTTGCCTTAATTCAGATTTATCCGGCTGATTTGGAGAGAGTTTAGTCCATTCGCTCTGATAATCCTTCGAACTAAATCATCCATTTTGGGTTAAATTGTTGTGCTACATTTTCCTTAAGCCGGCAAATGTGGGAGTTTTTGGGGATGGCAGCGGAGTGGAAATGCGCGGAGAGAATAAAGTTGGCTGGAAATTAAATAGTTTCACGCCTGCTTTGATTCAAATTATTGATTCCAGGGAGTTGATTCATTGCTGAAAATGCACTCAGCGATCCACAACTTGGAGCTCTGGTGGTCCTCGACTTACAACCGTTCATTGAACGACGGTTCAAGTTAAAAAAAAAAAGGGGACGGAGGAACAGTTTCCCCACTTTACGACCGTCGGAGCCGCTCCCGTGGTCACGTGGTCAAAATTGGGAAGATTGGCAAATGGCGTTGTACTTACAATGGTTGTGGGGTCCTGGGGTCATGTGATGCGATCCCCTTTTGCGACATTTTCACCCGGATTCCGTTAAGCAGAGTTAAGGGGGGGAGGCAGATTTGCCCTGATTTAATGAACAAGGATTCATTTAACAGCGGTGCTAAAAACAAAAAAAGATTATAAAATTGGGAATGACTCACTTAAAGGAACACCTTGCGTAGCAAACTGAAATCCTGCTTTCGATTATGGTCGTAAGTCGAGGACTACCTGTATAGCTTTGCAGTGCTCTAATACTGTGATAGAGAGCCTGATTGGTATTGTGGTTAAGGCGTCAGACAGGACTAGAACTCACCGTCTCTGGGTGATTGGCCCAAAGTCACCCAGNAGTCCTTGACTTACGGCCATAATTGAACCCACAATTACAGTCATAAACATAGTCCTCGATTTATGACCATTATTGAACCCACAATTACGGCCATAAACCATCTGCAGACAGTCTTCGACTTATGACCATTTGTAGTTACAACGGCCCTGAAAAGAGTGACTTATGACTGCTTTACACACTTATGACCGTTGCAGCATCCCCGCAGTCACGTGATCAAAATTCAGGCGCTTGGCCACCGATTCGCATTTATGACGATGGCAGCGTCTCCGGGGATCATGCGATCCCCTTTTAAGACCTCCTGACAAGCAATATCAAGGGGGAAGCTGGATTCACTTAACAACCAGGTGACTAACTTATCCCCTGCAGCGACTCACTTAACAACGGAGGCAAGAAAGGTCATAAAACGGGGCAAAACTCACTTAACACATGTCTCCAGTGGTGACATTCAGCCGTTTTTAGACCGGTTGAAGCGAACCAATAGTGGCGACCTGTCCCGGCTCTATGCCTTCCTATTTAGCCACGTTTTCTAAGCCGCGAGCGAGCAGAGCACATGAGCGGAAGGTATGTGCGCTTATGAAGCGGGCGGGCGTGCATGCGTGCTCACAGTTTCAGTGCACAGTGAATCGGTGGTAAAATTACCATATTTTTCGGAGTATAAGATGCTCCAAAGTATAAGACGCACCTAGGTTTTGGGGAGGAAAACAAAGGGGAAAATTTGCCTCCTTGCAACAAACAGCAAACAGCACAGACAATATACACTGTTTGTGGTGTTACATTTCAGATTATACTTGTACAGATGCTGCTAAAATTGATGTGCTTTCTGGAAGTATAGTTATTCTCTGCTATTTAAAAGAAGATTACAATAGCACTGGGCCTCTTCAGATCAAGAGTTTATTTTAAAAAGCTTCTTCGTTTTGCTAAGCTGCCTAGAACAAGAATAAAGCAGTCTTTAAAAAATAAGCCTCATAATCTGAACATTCTATAGGCATTTATAGTTATTGACTTGCCTCCTTGCGGCAAACAGCAAACAGCCTGATTAGCACAAGAAAAAAAATATCTGCTTCTGCCTCCCAGCAATTTGCCTGGTGGAGCAAACAACAAGTTTCACTTTCAGTTTAAGCGGGCCTCCTGATCATCAGCTGTTTCAGGCTGCAAGGATTGCCATAGCCTATTGCAGCCTCCGCAAGCCCCATTTTCCCCGTTTGCTGCAAGAAGGGAAATTGCTGGGAGGCAGAGACGGAAGGGTGGGGGACGGTGGGTGTGCGGGGCTACATTCAGTGTATAAGACGCCCCCCAATTTTCACCCTCTTTGAGAAGGGGAAAAAGGTGCGTCTTATACTCTGGAAAATACGGTACGTGAAACCCTAACCTCTGCGTGCCTCCTTTAACAACAGCGATTTTGGGCTCAATTCCCATCCTTAAGTCGAGAATACAGTGAATTAATTCAGAACGAGAAGATCTGGATGGGATCTTTGCTTTTTATCTGATGTTTAAAGAGATTTATTTGTTCTTTTATTTTCTGTTTTTTTTTTGCGACAGGAACGGGATGGCTCACCAGAAAACAAGTCAAGGCCACTCAAATTCGGCTTTCAGCCTGCAGGATATTTCCTCCGCTAACAAAGTGAAATCCAGCATTACAACTCAGGTAAACCAACTCAACACCTCGGTGGTCGTTTGAAGGCTGATTATCAAACCCATAGTCCTAGACTTACGACCACAATGAACCCCCCTGAAATTTCCATGGCTAAGCCAGATAGCGCCCGTTTCACCAGACTTTGCTCCATTTCACTGCAACCTTTCTTGCAGTCGTCGTTAAGCGAATCCCTGCCGTTAGTCACTTGGTTGTTAAGCGAATCGGGCTTCCATGTGGATTTTGGGGATCACGTAACCGAGAGACACCGTCTTAAATAGGAGCCACTTGCCAAGGGTTTGAATTTTGATGCAGCCGTCATAAGGGTGAAAAAACGGCCGTAAGTCGGTTTTTTTTCACTGCCGTCGTAACTCGGAA